TTTTTTTTTTTTTTTTTTTTTTTTTTTTTTTTGCAAATAATACGTATAACGACGTTTCAACAAAATAAATAATATTTGTTCACAAAATAACAAAAAAAAACATATTACTTGGCTACGAAAGTATTACCTTGAAAGAGTTCAGATCAATCACTCGTGCACGATAACTAATGTTCAACATAATTATTTTAAGATAAAAAGAAGGTTGAAGGTTAGATACTGATCAAATATTTCCTCATGAAGATAAGAATTTGATTACTAGCTAGCTAGTAGTATTCTTCCATATAAAATATGGAACCGTCATGAAACATGTCGACATGAAACTGTATGTGGTTTATCAAAGATAGCGCAACCACAAAATCTGAAGATGTAACTCCCAAATATTCCAAGAGTTATTTTTACTAGGGACATAGCCTCCGCGCAAGCGCGTGGGCCAAATACATTTTTGATGCATTGTTTTGTTTTGGGTTTACATATGATGCGAAAACTAAAAGAGATACGATCTTGTAAACTGAAACATGCTGGTTTAACCTCAATTTTTGCTGCAGAATTTATGGACTTCTAAATTTTCTTCAAATTTTAATTTGAACATGTGATCATTAGAGTCGTAAATGAAAGCAAATAGCTTGTTAAAGAATCTTTTTTAAGAAAACGCAATAAATAAGACATCGCATATCTGCTTCCTCATCTTCTGGTTCTTTTTTTTGTACCAAAAATCTTGCTAGCAAGTCTACGTCAACACTGCTTATTACTTCGTTTGCAGCATCTGTAATCTGCAATAAAAGACAAGGAAAGAGAGCTTACATGATAAATTTATAAACGCGGAAGAGATTAGTAATCTGAAGATTATTTATAGTGCATAGGTATAGAAAATAGTGCATAATTTCGAGATTAGTAACTCATTTGAAAATTTACCTTTTTGTGATGGCTGATTTTGTCTCCAGCTTCAGACCGAGACAGCATACTTTCTAAGATCTTAGCAAGCAATGGAGTAGACTCTGGGTATTCGGACTGCCAAGTAACATATATTTACAGTTAATCTAACAATAATTCAGATTTGTATACTTTTTACAGAAATTTCAAGTTAAAGTGACAATAAATCATTATTTGAAAGGAAAACATTAACCTTTAGCTCGCAAACCTTGAGACACGAACACAACCTTTTCAATCGGAACGATCTTCCTTAGTTTCTTCTTTTAGGTTCCCAAGAAATTTGATCTTTGTGTCATGAACCTGAATTACCTCTCCTGTATCACCAGCAAAATCGATGGAATAATCAGCTTTTCATGAAGTATAATGTTGCAAAAGTATCTCTATATACCCATACTGAATCATATTCTCCGCTTTACATTCTCATATCGCCTTAATCAAGAAGTGTGAATTTCAATATTGTTTTCATACATCTTTATAGATAAGATGTGCGAAGACCAAAATGCTAAGCCAGTAACACAAATTTTAACAGCAAAAGTAAAGACAAAATACCATACACACGACAACACAATAATGGTAAACTTCAAGTTTTTAATGGTGGCATGAACTGGTCGGGACCTGCAGGCCTCGAAGGATGCTTCAATATCCTAGATTTTTCTCTCTCTAAAGACCAAAAAACAGAAACCCATTCCACCAATAATTTTTTCAATTTCTTAAGAGAAACACAAACACCATACCTATTATTAAGATTTTGCAAGATGTTAACGCCTCCTTTCATCTCTTGTAGTTCCTTTGCTCTTTTCTTAGTTAAAGACTGCACATGGTAAAAGATACAAGGCTTGATACCATCGCTATACATTACCAAAAAAAAGAATATTCCAAGAACAAAAAGAGAATGATACATGTCCCATTGTTAATAGAAGAAATGTATTGTGTTTTGACGAGCAAGGAAACACCTTTATCAGTAGGTCTTTCTTTTCTCTTGATGCCATCTTTCTTGATAGGGATAACAGCATCATCATCACGCAACAAATCTTCATCTTCAGGTGCAAAAGCTGGCCTCACTTTGGGTGGCCTGAAAAGAGCTAAAATATAAGAAGCAATCTACTTTGTATATCTAATGGCATCAATGAAACATATATACGAAGAAACACAATTTAGGAATTTTTTATTTTTATTTTTTTTTAAAGATGAGGTAACATACTGAACTTTACCACGCTCAATGGTCATAATCTTAAGCTATGCAGTAGGGTCAGGTAGCTCATTCCGGAACCTGGAAGAAGAAAGCCAAGAAGATAATCAGAGCTATATATAAGTGAAAAGAGCAATAAAGAGACTGACTTGAGCTTGCAGATGAAGGTGGTTGGTTTCTTTAAACGATTCTTAACCCTATCAATAGTGAGAAGAGGCGCAGGCTTCCTCTCTTTCGTGTGTGCTTTGGGAGCCTGAGACTTGTGAGACGTAAATACACTAAAGAGTGCCTCAAAAACGCTAAATGCTTCTTAAAGACACTCACCAGCCTAAAGTGAAATCCATAGCTCTCTTCACTATCTCCTCTGAGTTGGACTTCTTCTCTTTTGGTTCAAGAAAAGTGTATTCAGATGCAGACTATACATTCAAGTAAATGAGAGCGATGATACTTGTGAGTGCTTCTTTTTATTTATTTTTAATAAATGAATAAAAAACTCAGAAAGACACAAAACGTCAAATACTCACCGGCTCTTGGCTTGAATAAATTAACTGTCAAAGGCCATCATTATCTGAAGGAAAAAGATTAGACAACCAACTGATGAAAAGAAACAAATGTTTCACAGCACATAGACTCTTCTAGATCATACCAAGCAATGGATCAGATTTCTCCCCCTGTGACTCAGTTGAGTCCTCGATAGGATCCAAGGCTCAAGCCCACCGGAGAAGTTACTGTTCATCACGATGTTGTTGGAATCCGCCATGAGAGTTGCATGTCCTGGAAATAATGGGAATCAATCAATCAAATCAACATGTAGTACAGATCCTGTAGAAAACAGATGAAAGTCAAATAAAAATCTCACCTGTGAGTGACATGGAGGAGAAGAGAGGAGCAAGAAGGAAGAAGGAGGTGATTAGTTTTAAGAAAAGTTTAATTGGCATTAGTCAGATATATTTCGAAGAAGAATGAAGTATTCATCGGACTTTTCATTTGCTGACCAATAGAAAAAATTGAAAACAAAATTTTAAAAAATCAAATTATTTGTGGGCCCACAAGCTGCAGACAGCTAAGAGATTCGAAACCATGCACTCGCGAACAAATTTTTTAGTTTTGAGGTTTAGACCACTCGGACAAGTCTTCATTTATTGTTTACAGTCAGCGTGGCAAATTGTTATATTAATAAAACCAAAACGTGTGAGTTCCACAAAATGCTGACGTGGACACCTTTAGGAGCCTTGAAAATCTACTATTATATATAAGATTATAGGGCAGTTTCAAGTTTAAAATTACAAAATAGAGCAGTTATTGCTCTTAAGACAATTTCTTACAACTACAAGCTAACTAAGTTTATTCTTGCTACTAAATAGATTCTACAATTCTTAATTTTATTTTTCTTCTCTTTCTTTAACAGAAATATCCTTCCTTTTTTTTTATAACACAGAGAAATAATTCTAAAAGTAACAAAACGAAGAAGTTGAAATCTGAACAAAATATTGAAGAAGAAAATGAAAAATCCTAAGAAATCTCAAGAAAAATCTGGAAAACAAAATGAAGAATTATCGCCGAAAATAAAATGAAGAACACGATTGCGGTTCCTCTGTTTCATCGCCATGAACCAACAAGACCAAGCTTCTTCCTCCACGCCGTGCTCTGCAACTCGCTGTGAAGGCTTCTGCGTTTACTTTGTGCGTTTTTGATCTGTTTTTTTTTCTTGAATTTGGATTATAATCTGTTAATCTATATAATATTAGTAAGTTCTAGAGATAAAACGGAAAAAACAATGAAAATTGTATGATAAAAATCAATGGCAGCTGTGTATTATATTTGCAGAAAACGCAGAAAACCCTACTAGAAAGAAGATGAATTTATTACAAAATTGTCATTCGTTAAAAGAAAATAATTAGATGACTACGTGGATGTGTACATGATGTTAGTGTACACAAACTCGTGTACACGGGTACATTGGATGACTATGTGGATGTGTACATAATGTTAGTGTACATATGTACATGTTAAAGAGATAAATTTGGCTTTATAGATATAAAGACAAAAAACGTGGTTTTCGTGAATTAAACAACATGATTATATATGTACATGCGTACATGATTACATGGTGGACCTAAGTTTTTAGCAAACATTTGTGCCTAATATTTAGTTTGCATTTTTCAATAATCCCAATGATGTAGTATACAAATATTATCAATTTAAATGATAAGAATGAAAACTATACATGAGAAATGAGTTTTATGTTATTCAATATACGTTCATTTTTTATCACTTTTTATTAATTTTGTAGCTTAGTCTCTCTGGATAATACATTATGTGTACACTTTGATAATTTTTGCATATTCATGTGTTCTAACATATGTGATACACATATGTGTACATGTTTCTTTCACACACATGAGCATGTTTAACATGGACACCTAACTAAGCAGAATGTGACTAGTACATGCGTACATGTGGACATTATTTAGGAATGTACATGTGTACGACTACATTTCAATCAAGAAAATGAATGTATAACGTGTGGTGAAAATGTGATAAGTGAATTTATGGTTCTACATTATTCAAATATGTACATGTTAAGGCTTGTTTCCTGGATTATAATGAATGTGCACAGACTACAAGGTAGAACTGAATTAAGCCGGATGTACAAATTAATATATACATGTGTATACATCATCAGTCTCATAAGAGAGGTCATCATAGAGCAAGGCTATGTCAAATTCTTCATCGTTAATCTCAAATAATGGCCCAGTTTCCCGTGTAAGTGGGGTAGCAGGAGTAGGTTGGTGAGAAAAATCTTGAGTTTGTATTTGAGTTCGCGGGGATTGGGCGGTTCTTGGTGCATGCTTTGATGATGATCATATGTGTACACATAAAAAGGGCATGGACGGATCTTCTCTAAATGTGTGTGTGTACGTGGTGTTGGTTTGTACAAGTAGATATTTTTTTTGGTGTACACTAAGGAAGGTTAAAATGTAATAGTACTACAAAAGGTAAAAATGTGATTTCTAGTGTGTATTTGCTAGATGTATTTGTATTACAAAAGATTAAAATGAAAAATTTCTAAAGTTTGTGACTAAATTAAGAATCAATTTTCACATTTAATAGTATTGGGGTTACAAAATAAATAACAAATAAATTTAGGGACCAACTATGCAAAAATACCCAAATTAGCCATTGTTGCTCTCTAACTTATATTTTCAGTTTCAGAGCGTGTAAAAAACTAAAAATAAGCTTAACTTGAGAACCGGATCTGATCCCAAGCTTGAACCTTCACTTTGCGGTGAGGAGAGGAGGAGACGTTTCGACGGCGGCGGCGAGAGTTTAGGTTACGACGATGACATAGACGATTATGGTGGAGAAGGAAGGATCTTGGCAAAAAAGTAGAGATGTAGTTGAGAAGAAAGTGTTGCGGGCAAAAAAGTAGAGATGTAGTTGAGAAGAAAGTGTTGCGGCAGCAACAAAAATCTTACTCAGTGACCTTTAAAACAGACCATGACGGTGCAGACGGGACGGCAAGCACATGCTCCGGATGCGGTGGAAGGTTTATGATGATCTATAAAACAAACTTTGATAATTTTTGATTTTTGTAATTTGTATTTGGTTTTATGTCCAATTCCGAGAAAAAAAGAAAGATGACTAATTCTCAGACTTTGTGGGACCCTTTTAGTTTAGTTTGTGACTTAAGTTACCAAAAACTGTCTGAGTAGTTGTAACTGTCTTATATTGATAATAAAAACTTAAAATGCCTTGCAGTGATATATTTTCATATTCCAAGCCGTGAGTTGTCGCATCACATGACCTAGAAAAAGAAGCATGCATCTTAACAAAAGCAACAACATTAACAGAGACATGCAAAAACTCGTAAATCTTGAGCTGGAAACGTAAGATCATCATTATTGTAGGTTTATTAGGGATTTGAGAATATAAGAAACTATTTTCTAATTTTTAACTAAAAAATTAAAAAAACTATATTTTTTTAATATTCTTCTGAGAACTCTGCCCTAAAAAATCTACAATAATAATGCTCTTATGAGACTTTAAAAAAAACATAAAAATTCATTTGTATTTTGACCAGTCATGTTACTTTTATTCAAACGACAAGTCACAAAGGAAAATATTAGAAAGTCGAAACAATTAATGTGATAATTACCAGTACCGGCTCTATAGGTGTGCTGACAGTGCAAATGCACAGGGCTCAGATTTTTGATTCAATTATTTTTATTGTTTAAGGCCCTCAATTTTGAAATTCTTACAATTTTAGGATCTTATCCCCTATATATTAATTCAGGAACATCTGAAAAGATGGAAAAGAGGCCCAAATGCATAGGTGTCATTCAATTAGGTAGTCAATTAGATTCAGTTGAAAAATAAGTAAGTCCACATTGGATTTTTATAGGTTTCTAGATACATTAGTTAGTCAAACTATATAATATAATGATATGATATGCTATTTTCATTCCTTAAATAAAACCTACGTAATTACCATAAATGACTAATATATATATGAAATTAATGATTCTAATAATAAAGATTTGATAATGATTTATATCTCCTCCATCATTTCTTGTTTAATTTTATATTAGTAAAATAAATTAAAAAAATTAAATTAGCTATAAAATTAAAATTTATATTTTTCGTATATGTTATATTTTGAATTTTCAAAAACGACAATAAATGTCTAAAACTATTAAAATTATTATGTTAAAAATTAATGATCAATGGTTTAACATCCCTTCCCCTATATATTATTTGAGAAGCATTACAACATGTTTTAGTAGCCACGTGTCATCAAGAGAATGCTTCTTAAATTTACTAGAAAAAAATGTTGGTCCATATAAACATATAATATACTTTTTATTAAACTAAACATAAAACTATTATTAATGCCATTCATTATTTCCTTAAATGAGATTTACGGAATTACCTAATATGGTTATAATATATATATATATATATGATAATAAATGATTGAATATGAAGATTTGATAAGAAAATTATAGCCTATCTTTGTTAAATTTATATTATGAAAATAAATTAAACAATAACATTAAATATTTAACAATAGAATTAGATTTTTTTTATATATGCTATATTTTGAATTTTTAGAAACGACTATAAATTAATAAAACAATTAAAATTTTCACATATGATATTTTTGATTAATAGTTTAAATCTCCTATATATTAATCATGGAGCATTACCACATATTTTGGTAGCCACGTGTCACAATGAGAATGAATTTCATAACTCTTAGAGAAATATGTTGGTCCAACTAAACATATGTTATACAATATAACCTTTTTAAATTAATATTCTACCAATTAATATACACACAAAATCTCTCTAAAATAATATAATTTTATAGTATCAAATTGAGTTTTTGGTTTTATTAGTATATCGATAAATTAATAATTTCTAGAAATTAATAAAAAAATATAATTTTTGGTGTAGTTCCAACATCCCATATATATTAATTTAGAAACATTTGGAAAGTTATAACCTTAAGTTTGTATTAATTAAAAATAACTTTATCCTACGTGGCACCTCTCTATGCATTTTATTTCAATTTAAAATGATTCTAAAACACCTCATATAAAGCATAGTTTTAAACATGGCATGTTGGTCTCATATAACACATATCAAACTCAATAACATATCAAACTAAATCTCCTATATATTATTTCCTTAAATAAAACCTACGGAATTACCTAATGTGATTAAGATATATATGACGATTAATGATTTTAAATAATAAAGATTTCTTAACAATATGTATACTTTATATCATTTTTTAACTTTTTATTATTAAAATAAATTACACAACTACACTAATCACCTAATAAAAATTTAAATTATTTTATATATGTTGTAGTTTAAAATTTTCAAAACGAGTATAAATTACTAAAACTGTTAAAGATCTCACCTAAATTATTGTGATCAAGGTCTAATGTTTTTTTATAATAAGTTACAATGATTATAAAATCATATGAATAAATAATTTTATTTTAATAGGTCTTTATGTTAATATATATCTCATGTCGTATGGAGAAATAATATTATTTTAAACATAATTATAATTTAAAATTTAACTTATTTGTTTTATAAAACTATTTTTCATTTAAAAAAGGTTTTTAAAAATATATTTTTTGATATTATTAGACAAATAAATAAATTATATTAAATTAGTTTTGAAAGTTTATATATTCTAAATGGAAATATTCTACCAACTGCTTCTTAAGAAATATTAGGGAACTTGATAATGCTCTACCAATTAAGCGCTCTGACATTCCGTTTATTTTTCATCACTAGAACACTGAAAAGTAAAAAGATATATGAACCCGACCCACTAAATTCTAAGTTTTGATCTACAGTTCTAATTACAATTGTTTCTTATCCTACGTACAGATAATTATATAAAAACACCAAAATTTCAAGCACATATAAAAAATCATATGTAAATTTTAAATTTATCAATATTAAAATTTTATATTTTAATTAAATATACTCACCCTGCGCAAGGCGCAGGTCTTATCCTAGTATATATTAATTGAGAAACATTTGAAAAATTGTAACCTCAATTTTGTAATAATTAAAAAAGAGCTCATGCTTACGTGTCACTCAATTAGGTAGTCAACTACATTCAATTGAAAAATAAGTAGGTCCACATTCGATTTTTATATGTCGCTAGATATATTTGTTGGTCAAACTATATGATATGATATTTATGATAGAAGCATTTATGATTGTCATGCTAGATATAATTACTATTTTATTTTATTTTCTTAAATAAAAGCTACGGAATTACCATAAGTGACAAATATATATATATATATATATATATATATATATATATGACAATTAATGTTTCTAATAATAAATATTTGATAACAATTTTTATCTCCTCCATTATTTTTCTTTAATTTTATATTATTAAAATAAATCAAATAATCAAATTAGCTATAAAATTAAACTTTAGATTTTTTTGTATATGTTATATTTTGAACTTAAAAAACCAACAATAAATGACTAAAACTATTAAAATTATTATGTTAAAAATTAATGATCAATAGATTAACATTTTTAGTATAAAAAGATACACATGATTTTAAAACCATATGAGTAAAAAGTATCATTCAATAATAAACAAAAAAAATATATATATATAGATTAAACTATATACCATATAAGATTACATACTTATTTTAATTTCAAAAATTTCAATGAATTTTCAAGAACATTTATAAATTATAAACGTATTAAATTTTTCACATTGAAATTTTTTGTTATCAATGATTTAAATATATTAGTTTTTTTTAATTTTCTATTTTTTAAAGATATTAACAAAATCGATAATATGGTTATTTTTGGTATATACCATACAAACCGAATGTATGTGATTTTATAAAAACCGTAAGATTTGGATATGGTTTGATTTATAATCGATTAAACTAAAACATGTAAATATGTATATCTATTTGTTACATGAGTTGAACTATAAATATGATTTGTAAATCACTTGAATCACTTGAAATATAATTAACTAACAATTTAATGCAATTGAGGCTTCGTATTTTCATCGTCTTTTTTTTTAATCTTTTTTTTCTTTTTTTTAATAGAAACTAAATTGAAGTAAAAATTATAAATTTGATGGACAACAATTAGTTGAAATTCTTTACAATTTTTTTTAATCTTTAAACAAACAGAGTTGTGTTCAATCGAAGACATATTAATTTGATGAACACTAAATATGGAAGAATATAAAAACTTATTTCTTTCATGCTTCTGTTTTTTTTTATTTTTTTTTCAAAATTTAGAGATTTGATATTTATTCTAGATTTGATCATTTTACTAGATCATAGAAGCCTTTTTTTTGTTTTTTATTCATTTAGTTAAATATATAATA